GACTCTGTGAAGCAGAAGGAACTCTAAACAGGTGTAGCTTGTTAGCCAATAAACACCTGCCTAATCATAATAGGGATGCGGGTGGCGCTGTGGGTAAAACCTCAGCGCCTAGGACTTGCCGATTGCATGGTCGGCGGTTCGAATCCCTGCGGCCGGGTGAGCTCCTGTCGTTCGGACCCAGTTCCTGCCCACCTAGCAGTTCGAAAGCACCCCTAAGTGCAAGTAGATAAATAGGTACCGCTTTATAGTGGGAAGGTAAACGGTGTTTCCGTGTGCTACTCTGGTGCCGGTACGCCAGAGCAGCTTCGTCACGCTGGCCACGTGACCCGGAAGTGTCTGCGGACAGCGCTGGCTCCCGGCCTCTAGAGTGAGATGAGCACACAACCCTAGAGTCTGTCAAGACTGGCCCGTACGGGCAGGGGTACCTTTACCTTTACTAATCATAATAGAATTGACAACAGTTGCCTAGAATGGTGTTCAAACTGAGACCTTGGAGGAAGACTCCCAACCTCTCACAGGAAAGAACAGCTGCCAGGATTAAGGTTTTTGCCTTTTGCTGTTCTGGAGCATGATTATGCTCATCAATTCGAAGCACAGTCCTGTTCAGAATCTTTTAGCTGTCTGACTCTTCACCTCTGAAATGTTCTTTATCAATGCATACTTATTTTGTTTTTAGTAAGCGGCGATCTCGGCCTTACTTCTGGATTAATAGATATAGGACCGAGGGTGTTAATCAGCTGCAGGCTCGGTGATTCTCGCAACAGCAAGTGAGTAATACCACGATGGCCCCATTTTACAGTTATCAAATGAACCAGAGAAGCTAAGCTGCTTCTTTCGAGCTGTGGTGTCAGCTGAGATTGTAGCTTTATGCTCCAAGAAGGATGTTTCCCTTATCCTTTCCCTGCTTTGGGCCTGTGACTTGGGAATGCTGATTCCTTTAGGCTTAAACTTTGCTATTCAGCAAATGGATTAAGGAGAAGATAGCAGCAAGCAATGCACATCCTCTCAAAATCTGTTGAAATCCACGGCCAGTCAATGTAGACAGTATTGAGTTAAATGATCTTGACTCATTATAAGGCAACTTCTTTTGTTCCTGTTAAAAAAACCTCTTAATTTAGAATAATGGGGGACTAGAATCTTATTTTTAGAACATCTCCTCTGCATGCAGACCCTCCAAGTGTCCCTGTTTTCCAGATTTACAGAAGCTGTCCTGTTTTCTGTTTTGAACCTGGAATAGCCTGCTTTTCCTTATGACATCCCTACTCTATTTTTGGGATGCGGGTGGCGCTGTGGGTTAAACCACAGAGCCTAGGACTTGCCGATCAGAAGGTTGCCAGTTCGAATCCCTGCGATGGGATGAGCTCCCGTTGCTCGGTCTCAGCTCCTGCCAACCTAGCAGTTTGAAAGCATACCAGTGCAAGTAGATAAATAGGCACTGCTGCGGCAGGATGGTAAACGGCATTTCTGTGCACTGCTCTGGTTCGCCAGAAGTGGCTTAGTCATGCTGGCCACATGACCCGGAAGCTGTATGCTGGCTCCCTCGGCCAATAAAGCGAGATGAGCATCGCAACCGCAGAGTCGGTCACGACTGGACCTAATGGTCAGGGTCCTTTACTCTATTTTTATCAGAGAAATATTGGAGGGTAAGGAGTTATGCCACCCATGAGCCAAAGAGGTAAATAACTATACAACCTTTAGAAGACATCTGAAGGCAGCCGTGTATAGGGAAGTTTTGTTGATGTTTAATGTTTTATTGTGTTTTAATAAATGTTGGAAGCCACCCAGAATGGCTGAAGCAGCTCAATCAGATGTTTGGGGTATCATCATCATCATCATCATCATGGAATAGGATGTCCCTATTTTCATCGGAGAAAAGTTGGAAGGTATGTGCATGCAGAAAGTCTCAGGTTCCGTCCCCAGCATCTCTAGGTATGGCTGGGAGAGTGAGCTCTGCCTGAAATCTGGGTGAGTTGCTGCCAGTCAGTGTGGGCAATACTGCGCTAGTTGGACCAATGATCCGACTCTGTATAAGGCAACTTCCTATTAGCTTTGGCTATCAATCGGAGACAGCAAGGAGAGAAGCTTGTAGCTGCCTATGTATGTAAGGTTTTTTTTGTCTGGCAAATAGTGTTGGGTACTGGACACAATTCTGAGTCCAAACCAATATAGTTAATATTGTTGAAAGGAATTGGCTTGGCAGTTAACTTCTTCTGGTACAAACAGACAGTATTTTCATTCATTATTAACTGAGAAACAAAATTTCTTTTGTGAACAGATTTTGCACCCTGGGTATATATATTCAGTGGAATGCGCCCTTCTCCATTTTCCAATTTTGCCACCTACAAATAGGGTGGAAAATCTCAAGTGCCCATTTTTCGCTCAATCCCAGGGTATTGCTGTTCTGCCGGTGCACACATTCGTCTCAAATCCACTTTATGATTCTATCCTATTTACTTAATGTCAACTGTGGGGGGGTGGAATTGGTGGCTGAACATGGAAACTCCAGCACAAGCAAGGCATATGTCCAAATGCGGAAGCCTTGAAAGCAGTGGACATCACCTCTATGCTTTACCTCCACTGTCAGAGGTGTGATGCCTTTGAATCCTAGTTAACAGGGAATTGCAGGTGGGCAGAGGGCTCTTGCACTCATGCCTTGCTTGCAGGCTTCTGAATCTGGAAACCACAGAGGAGGGAAGTGCTGTCAGAAGTCCTCCTTGCAGACTTCTGACATGCACCTGGCTGGCCACTGTGAGAAAAGGATGCTGAACTAGATGGGGCATTGGTTTAATCCAGCTGGCTCGTCTTAATGCCAGCGCACCTGTTTTATGCCAGCACAGTGGTACCTCGGGTTACATACGCTTCAGGTTACAGACTCCGCTAACCCAGAAATAGTACCTCAGGTTAAGATCTTTGCTTCAGGATGAGAACAGAAATTATGCGGCAGTAGCAGGAGGCCCCATTAGCTAAAGTGGTGCTTCAGGTTAAGAACAGTTTCAGGTTAAGAACAGACCTCCAGAACGAATTAAGTTCTCAACCTGAGGTACCACTGTAGTTTCTAAAAAACAAGGAAACCCTGGGGACGTGGCACAGTTTTGGTGAATCTCTGCAGCTCTGGGGTTTAAAACTTCCCAGGAACGAAGAGATATCCTTTAAGTATCTAGACCTGGAGCTAAAGCATTCACCACCGGCTTCCAGGGCAAAAGCTCTGTATCAGTCAATGACTCTCACACCTCACTCTTCTCAGCGTTGTTGACACGTCTCTGGAATGAGGCTGAGGCATCTGCATTCCTTTCAAGATTGAGGGTTGGAGGGTGGGTGGGAGAGATCTGGTGCATGCTTTAAGCAAGGTTGCCTCCATGTTTGGGGACACTGGGTTGATGGGTGTTTATACTATGGTTACTAGATTTTTTTTTCAATGAATCCGGGCCCCCCCCTTTTTTTTGAAGCTGAGTAGCAACAGGGAGTCAGTAGAGTGGGGATGGTGAGGCAAAAGACCCGGGGCCCAAGCACACATGCATATTGTATAAAGGTGCAAAGCCCTTCTTTCACACCCTGTGAAACATAAATGCGCAGAGTTTTTTAAAAACTGGGCAAATGTGTGCCGCGTGCCCGTGACTCCCGAGCCTCCCCCGATCTCCTGCCCCCTTCCTCCTTTGTTTTGACTGATCGGGGGAGGCTCAGGAGTCATGGGCGGGTCGCCGTTGCCCCGTTTTTTAAAAACTCTGCACATTTATGTTTCACAGGGTGTGAAAGAAGGGCTTTGCATCGTGCCTGGCAGAGAAACCATGCGCCTTGTGCCCCTCCTGGGCAACGGCCACCCACCCACAACTCCCGAGCCTCCCCCAATCAGTCAAAACAAAGGGGGAAGGGGGCAGGAGATCTGTACTGCTGGACGTCCCCAGTTCCCTTTTGGCAGTGGCGGCAGCAGCGAGCAGCTCCTGAAGCCAGCCAGCACCAACTGCACTATGAGGCTGGCTCCGGGCTGCTGAGGCTGCCGCTGCCACATTTTCCGGGAACAGATTTGCAAATCTGGGGATGTCTGGTAACCCTAGTTTATACTGATGTCAACACCTCCAGGCAGCAGACACCCCCCCCCACCCTCCTGACTATGTCTGTAAGGTCCCATCCACAATATGGATTTAAATCAGTATCCCACCACTTTAAACAGCCATGGCTTCTCTCAAAGAATCCTGCAAACTGTAGTACAGTGATACCTCGCGTTACATACGCTTCAGGTTACATACGCTTCAGGTTACACACTCCGCTAACCTAGAAATAGTGCTTCAGGTTAAGAACTTTGCTTCAGGATAAGAACAGAAATCGGGCTCCGGCGGCGCAGCGGCAGCAGGAGGCCCCATTAGCTAAAGTGGTGCTTCAGGTTAAGAACAGTTTCAGGTTAAGTACGGACCTCCGGAACTTAACCCGAGGTACCACTGTAGTTCCTTAAGGAGTGCTGTGACTTGTCAGGGAACTCATATTCTCTCCACAGAGCTATAGTTCTCAAAGTACCCTGGGAAGATGGATGGATTTTTAAAAACCACTATAGGAATTCCTGCTCACTGAGGGGAATAAGGGTCTCCTAAGAACTCTCAGCACCCATAACAAACCACAGTTCCCAGGATTCCTTGGGGGGTGGGAAGCCATGAGTGCTTAAAGTGGCATGATGCTGTTTCACATGCAAGGCGCAGATGGGATCTAAGTTGAGCTGTCTTTCAGGGCGCTGTCGAAACTTAAGATAGCAGGGGCCAATGAGATTTACTGTTTTAAAAAGAGAAGAAAGGCAGACGTCAGTCCTGCCGGGCTTTCGGGCCAAGGCTGCCTCCAAAGGATGGTGAGTGCTGATGCAAATCCTGCATCCTTTAGATCCCCCCCCCAAGTATTTTGCATTTCTCCCTTTTGATTCTTGCCTATTGATATTTTAGTTATTATGTGAGCACCAGGGGAAGTAGGGCAGAGAGAAAGAGTGAGCGTTTGACGAAAAACCAGGGGGAAAGGGAAGGGTGGTAGCTCAGTGGCAGAGCATTTGCCTTGCATGCAGAAGGCCCCGGGTTCAATCCCCAGCATTTACTGATAGGGTTGGGAGAGAACCCTGCCTGAAGCTGCAGAGAGCTGCTGCCAGTCAGTGCAGACAATACTGAGCTAGATGGACCAATGGGACCCATCAGCAGAAGACAGCCTCCTATGTAACACAATTATGACTTCTTAGAGGTTCGTTTGAAAATGGATTCCGATTTTAGGAAATTCCTTCATTTAGTTGGCAGGGGAATCTGGGCCATAACTCTCTGGTGTTCTTGCAATATATTTGGTTGTAAGCAATTTCTCTTTTTAATTGGACACCTTCTGAGTATACTTTCCCAGGCTGCCACTTCCAAGCTGTTAAGCAACTCCAGTGCTCTGACTTGGGGGCGGGATGATTTACAGTTCTGTCTATGGGATGCTCAGTCTGATGCTAGGTGAGGGCAGAGCTGTAATTTGCAAAGAGGTTTCTGGGCTCTGTAGCAGCGAGAGGGAACCTGATTGATGAGCAATTTGCTTGTTGCAACACCAGGAACTGGGGCTTACCAGGCAGTGAATCAAGACATTCGTGGAGTGGGGAAGGCGCCTGCACACAGCAGCTTATTATGGACTTGGTGCCGATTACGCTCTAATGTTTTCTTCTTTTTGTACTGGCCACATGATGTTGCCGTCATCAAAATGGCATCTCGTGCTTTTTCAACATTTTGTCCAAATTTCACCTTTCTGCAGAAAACCCCAAAAGTAAAAAACAACCTGCTGTACCTTGGCAGTCCCTGCCACTGTGGGCAGTCCGTAGCACATTCTTTTTTGGGTGGCCAGTTTGTTATGTGCCACGAGTGACTAGGAATGGCAGGGTGGGGGAGAGAAATCCAATCCAGTTTGCACTCAAAAGTGATCTTATCTAATTGGGGCTTTCTGAAACAATAAGCAAGCCAAAACATAGTCGTCCTTTGAAATTCACACTTCTTTGAATTTTGCATTGTGGTTTCTCCAGCCAACTACCGTGGACAAAAATGTACACAGTAGGGTAAGGCGTGGATGAAAATGCATCTATCTGGTGAAAAAAAATGACATATAAAATATTATATAATGTCTGGGAAACAGTTTTGCAAAAATGCAAATGTTAGAGAGAGTTGCATACAGAACTGTGTATGTTTGGAAAAATTCACACTAGTTTGCTGTTGAATTATCATGGGTGTGTGTGTGTGTGTGTGTGTGTGTGTGGAACGCAAACTGTTGTGGAAATGTGGAGAACTGAACTTAACATTGGGTGGAAAATGAAAGACAGAGAAACTGAAATGGACATAGTGGTGATGTTTCAGTAGGTTGCCTCTATTACCACACTCCAGCTTCTGTTTGCTGCTCATATGAGATTTACATGAGACCTGTAATAATAAAATAAATGTCTGGGTCAGGGTTTGTTTATTGTCCTTTCCCCTTCAGTCCTTCTATAATTTCTTACCCTCTGCTTTCTCAACTTAAAGGTAAAGGTAAAGGGACCCCTGACCATTAGGCCCAGTCGTGACCTACTCTGGGGTTGCGGCACTCATCTCACTTTATTGGCCTAGGGAGCCGGCGTTTGTCCGCAGACAGCTTCCAGGTCATGTGGCCAGCATGACTAAGCCACTTCTGGCGAATCAGAGCAGTGCACGGAAACGCCGTTTACCTTCCCGCCGGAGCGGTACCTATTTATCTACTTGCACTTTGACGTGCTTTCGAACTGCTAGGTTGGCAGGAGCAGGGACTGAGCAACGGGAGCTCATCCCGTTTTGAACCGCCGACCTTCCAATCAGCAAGTCCTAGGCCCTGTGGTTTAACCCACAGCGCCACCCGCATGGTGCTTAAAGCACCCTGTGCTGGTCCCGGGGGGAAGGTTACCGTTGGCGTAGTCAAAGTCCGGTCCTGGGTCACTGGTCTGGAAACAGTTCTCAAGGAGCGAGATGAGGTCCGAAGCAGGAAGCCGGGCGGGGACAGGAACACTGGGGGAACAGGACTGGATGCTGGCCGAAACAGCTCATCGACGACGTTGCTCCCACAACCTGGGACTGGGCTGACTGGCCTTTATCTTCTCTGAGGCCAGGGGCGGTCCCGGCCCCCAGGAGACCTGCCTCTCCTGGCCTTAAGGCGAGCACTCCTCCTGGGAGAAACCAGTTCCCTTCGCCTCTCTGCCCTGAGCCTCTGCAGTTCAGGAGAGGCCGAAGGGTTACTGGGCCCAGGGGGAGACTCACCTGTAGGCACTGAGTCCTCAACCACCTCCGGAGCCAGAGTGGATTCACCTGGTGCCTGCTCCTGAGGATCCGGCACAGGTGCAGGCGCTTCAGAATCAAGGCCCTGCCCCAGTTCAGCCGGCCCTGGAGGCGGGGACTCCTGTGCAGGCTGGGATTCCTCCGGTTCAGCCTCTGAATCGGAATCCCAGGCCATCACACACCCATAATTCCTGTGTGCATGCCAAATTATTCCTCAGCCTCTTTTCACTTTTTTTTTTAAACTTCTCCGGGAGTTTGCTGCAGCAGGCAGGGAGGAATATGAGATGGCCCCAAGTCCAGGCATTGCAATAAGTAGATCTCCTCTTGCTGTGCTACAGATTCCCTGCAAACCTCATTGCAAATTATAGCTCTGTCTTGAACAAGCATTGCATCCAAGCGATCTGCAGATGTGGTGACAGGAACTCATGGTGCCCAGCGCTCCTGGTTGTGCTGTGGATAAATAAGAAACAAGGGTCTCCATGTTGCTTCCTGCTATTAAAAAAATAAAAACGAAACCTTCTTTGATATTGCAGGGACTCTTGGATGGGTTTGTTTTTGGTGAAAAGTGAGAAGGGGTTCAGGACTCCCCTGCCTTCAGCAATGCAGTCTGATCCCTGGTTGCTTTAAGCTGAAGTTCTGTATCAGTTGGAAGATGAAGGCTGGGAATTGTTTTAATGTATTGAAAGACTGGGAAGCCCCTCCCCACCCCACTCAGAGCACTGTGTAATCCCAGATCTTGCAGATAAGCAAACTGCGGTTTAATCCCCAAAACTAACTGAGGGAGGAGTGACTGAGGAGGGCCAGGGCAAAACAACACGCCAATAATATTTTCTGTCAATATTCCACCAGCTGGTGTGGATGGCAAGCAGTGGAATAACAATGAATATGATGACGGGGGGCTAGGCGGGGAGAGAATGGGAGTCAGTGGAGCCTCGTATTCCAGGCCACCCACAAATAAACATCAGACCAGAGTTATATGTCGTGAGATAATGCCCTCCTATGGAGATGGCCAATGTTGGAAGCTATGCTTTACTGTTCTGCCAGTAGATTCACTCTTTCTAGAATAGTGTACATTCCATACAAAGATTTTTGTGAACTGTAGTTTAAGGATGCTGGGAATGATACTTTAGTGAATGGTAAACTATGGTTCCCAGGATTCTTTGGGGGAAGTCACGTGCTTTAAATGTATGGTATGTATGCAGCCTAGCTGTTTGTGTTACCTGGATATTGACAATGGGCACTCATGGGCAAAAGAATGTACTTGGAATGTGAGTCATGTATCCACCTGCCCAAGCGGAAACTGGGCCTTAGTTTTATTTGAGAGAAGTGCGTCTGTGAGAACTAGGAAAATTCAATTTAGTGCACATGATGAACCTGCCAAATCTGCCAAATCTGCACTTTGCAAAATGGTACACAAACCGAAACACAGCCAGCCTTCAAAATCCTTACTATTACTATTATTATTATTACCCTATTTTTCGCCCCATAGGACGCACCAGCCCATAGGACACACCTAGTTTTTTTGGGGGGAAATAAAGAAAATATTTTTTATTTCCCCCCCAGGTGCGGGGCTGGGGCGGGGGAAGCCTGAGCTTCCCCCGACCCCAGCCCCCAGAACAGGCTGCTATCCACTAGCCATGGGAGAGCCGTGCGACTTCGCGTGGCTCTCCCACGGCTAACGGAGCGCTGCGCGAAGCCCGAAGCTTGGGGCGTGCTGAGCTCAGCGCGCCCCAAGCTTCTGGGTGCCGGCAAGGTCTCTGCTAGCCGTGGGAGAGCCGCGCGGCTCTCCCATGGCGAGGGGAGGGCTGCACGAAGCCCGAAGCTTGGGGCGTGCTGAGCTCACTGTGCCCCAAGCTTCTGGGTGCAGGAAAGCTCTCTGCTAGCTGTGGGAGACTTGCGTCTCCCACGGCTAGTGGATAGCTTCCTGAAGCCTGGAGAGTGAGAGGGGTCGGTGCGCACTGACCCCCCTCGCTCTCCAGGCTTCAGCGAAAGTCTGCATTTGCCCCATAGGACGCACACACATTTCCCCTTCATTTTTGGAGGGGAAAAAGTGAGTCCTATAGGGCAAAAAATACGGTAATTTTATTTATGGCTTTCAGTTTTATACATTTCAAAAATTTTACAAACATTTTAACATTTCAAAACTCGACTTCCTTCACCCCCTTTCTGCGGTTCCTTAACTTTGTTTTTTAATATATATTTCCTGCAGATTCTGAATTAGCTTAATTTACTCATTTATTCATCTATTTTAAATATATCCTTTTATTTCTTATGTGTGTTCTCATATTACAGTTTGAATGCCGTGAAATTAAAATGGTAACACAGTGAAACAGAATAAAAAATATTAAAGAGGTAATTAAAAATCAATATGAATATGTTCCCCGCCTAAACCACAACCACAGAGACCACCTGAATGAAGCTCTGAGACAACTGGTGGCCCTGTAGGAATGTTAGAACCTGCCTTAGACCCATTGGGCCATCTAGTACTGTCTACACTGACTGGCAAGGGACGCAGGTGGCGCTGTGGGTTAAACCACAGAGCCTAGGGCTTGCCGATCAGAAGGTCGGTGGTTCGAATCCCCGCGACGGGATGAGCTCCTGTTGTTCGGTCCCTGCTCCTACCAACCTAGCAGTTCGAAAGCACATCAAAGTGCAAGTAGATAAATAGGTACCGCTCTGGCGGGAAGGTAAACGGCGTTTCCGTGCGCTGCTCTGGTTCGCCAGAAGCGGCTTAGTCATGCTGGCCACATGACCCAGAAGCTGTACGCCAACTCCCTCAGCCAATAAAGCGAGATGAGCGCCGCAACCCCAGAGTCGGTCACTACTGGACCTAACGGTCAGGGGTCCCTTTACCTTTACCTTTACACTGACTGGCAGTAGGTCTCCAGTGTTTCAGGCAGGGAACCTTCCCATCCCTACCTGGAAATTCAGGGGACCGAACCTGGGACCTTCTTCATGCAAAGCAGATGCTCTATCACTAAACTTCGGCTCTACCCCATGAACTGAACATATGGTTTTTATACGGATAATAAAGCTGCCTGTATTCACTTTGTATACAGCTAAATACATGATTTGCATGCAGTACTGCCTACGTCTTGCTCAATCTCGTCTACTTCTACTAGCAAAGTATCTCCAAAGTCTCGGCAGGACCTGAGATCCTTTTAACCAGAGACACTGGGAGATTTAACTCGGGCTTTTCGACATGCAGAGCATTATGCTGCAGCACCGCACACACCCCTTAAAATAATAAATGTATAATAAGGATGCAGAATAAGCTTTCGATGCCAGATGTTTGTGTTGAACTACTGCAGATATGAAAACCTGTTTTGTTTCTTTCCTTCTCTTCGCTGTTGCTACAACAGACCTGGCGAAGGAGCAACTACCCCTGGCAGCGGGATGAGGAAGTCCAAAACTCCAAGCCCATCCCGTCTGTGTGCTAATGGTTAACCTGACCGCCCACGTGGGAGCCTGCGAGTTAACAGAACATGCCTTTTATCATCCCTAGCCCGCCGGTGCACAAGGCAGCACCGTGCTCGAATATAGCCACAAACAGTTTTCTTTCAGCTCCCAACCTGAAGAACAAGTTCCCGTTTGTTTGAAAACAAGAGAGAGCGAGAGGCAGAATGAAGTCCACCTAAGGCCGGTAAACTCCCTCTGCTTGCCTTTGGCCTCCTCCTCCTCCTCCTCCTCCGTCAGAACTTGTTACCTTGGAGCTGTTGGAACAAGGACGATAAAAAGTTGCTTTGTAATCTCCGGGCCCTCCTTATGCAAAATATACATGGGAGGAGCTTTTGCTTTCTCTCTCTCTTTTGAGATTTGTACATGGGAGATACCGTGTATGCACAGGAGACAGAAGCATTGAAGCTGCACTCTCTGTCCAATGAAAAAGAGTGAAAACTGAGGTATGTGCTCTGTACATTTCTCTCTCTCCCCACCCCGCCACCAATTTCTCCCTAGATGTCTTTTGGTTTTTGTACTGCTAGCACTTCTTCCCCTCTTTGAAGCGAAAGCGAGTTTGGCAACCTCTAACAAGCTCCTACAGGAACAGCTCGGTAGCGTTTATGGTTGCAACAGAACCTTCTGTCTCTGGCCTTTGCTCTTTATCTGGAAACGTAATGAAACGCGGAAAGCAGTGCGACAAGGAGCTGAAAACATCGTCGCTTTGGGTTCTCTAACTTAACTTGGAGAAGACCGAGGAGTTCCACTTGGGTGGATCCTTCCCTTCTTAAACGCGCTTGCTTCCTTCTCCTCAAAGAGGATCTCTGATGTGCTGTTGCTTTCCCGGGGAGTCCTCTGAAGCTTTTGGGTTCATGGCAACCCTTTAAACCAAAAGCTAGAGAGAGAGATTAGGTAAGACACAACCTCTTTATCAGTAGATCTTCTGATGACTTGCTTGTTTGAGTTCTAAGTTGCTGGCCTTCAAGGTGCCCAAAGGAAGGAAAGTCTGGACAGCACTTGCTAAGGGGACGGGAACCTGTTTAAAACTGGTAACAGGAGAATCGATGCTGGTGTGGTTCTGCAGGGTCTGGCGAGCTGGTGTGATTTTGCAGGGTGAGGCCCTGAAAGCAGCCAAAAGGGAACTCAAATGGCACATGGGCGCCAATATGGTGTGGTTGCTGACCGTTCGGCATGGATCAGGGACATTTGGCCTCAAGTGTCTATTTGGCCACAAAACTTGCTGGGCAACTTTGGCACCAGCTCTCTTTCAGTGTAACCAATCTTGCAGGGCTGTTGTGCAGACGAAATGGAGAGAGGAGCCATGTGTGGCACCCAAAGTTCCTTGGAGGAAGGGCAGGATATAAATACTGTTTACATATTGCTTTGGCGAAGTGACTCTAAGGCATACGTTTAAAGCAGACCACTTCCCCCCTGTAAACTGTAGTCTCCCCCCCCCAGAGCTACAGTTCCCAGTTCCTTTGAAAAAACGAGGTTCCCAGCATTCTTTCTGGGGAAGTAATGTGTTGTTTTTTTAGTGTGTTGTGTTCACGTAGCCCAGAATGCAGGTTAGGTTCTTAGGACACTTTCTCATGTTCTGCCCCTAATAGCATAGAATCATAGAGTTGGAAGGGACCTTGAGGACCATCTAATCCAGGCATAGGCAAACTCCGGCCCTCCAGATGTTCTGGAACTACAATTCCCATCATCCCTAGCTAACAGGACCAGTGGTCAGGAATGATGGGAATTGTCATCTCAAAACATCTGGAGGGCCGGAGTTTGCCTTTGCCTGATCTAATCCAACTTCCTGCAATGCAGGAATATGCAGCTGTCCCATATGGGAGTCGAACCTGCAACCTTGGCGTTATCAGCACCACACTGTAACCAATTCAGCTAAGTTCCCCTTATCCACCCACTAGTTTTTCCCATTAAGTTAACTTCCTCCTGGAATGACTTGTAGATTAGGATTTTCTCATTCTGGGAGTCTGGCATTGTGCCATTTATTTATTTTATTTAGTGCTGATGATAATTAAAGGGGAGTGGGGGGAATAGCAAAATGGTGGCATATTTGCTGTGACCTATTAAAAGTTTCCATGTTGATTTTTGTGTTTGTGTGCCAGATATGTGCCTGGCTAAGTTAGGGTGGGGAAGAGAGAAGATGGGAGATCTGCAGAGCACAGCAGCAGAACAGATGATTTGTATGTAGAAGGTCTCTGATTCATATTCTGTAGTTCATAAACTGTAGCAAAATATGTTTATGAAAGCTTTTTTTTTTTTAGATAAAGGTGCATTTTGTAAATTAAAAGATGTGTATTTAAATGTGAATTTTCATGATCTTTTAGAGAGAGAGAGGAAAAAAACAGATTAATGCGGAGCAGGGTGAAACAGACCTATGAATAAGCACATGAGTGACACTGATAGGAAACAAACTGATTCATCCATCCCTTGAAATGGTTTTGTCTCTATAAAGCATAGATCTGTGTCTCCGTTGTTCCACGTCTGACCTCGAGGCCTTTTTGCCTCGGGGCACCTTATTTACCTTGCTCTCCTGTTTTAATAGCATGGTGCTTACTGCTGGCCCGGCTTCTTGCCAAGCCGTGTCACTGGAAAGAATGGAGAGCAAACCACTCTGCAGCTGTTTACTGAATAAACAGCCTGCCGGATGCCTATATTGTGTTTTCTGATCCAGCTTTGATTGTATTTGTGGAGCTGGGCATGGGGGAAGTGGCTTGACTGAACCTAAGGCATGTTGCATGAAGAACAGCGGTGAAGCTCCCTTTATTTAGAACATTTATTAAGCACAAGGACCAGAAACTCAGGAGTCCTAGTCTCTACTGAGCTTTTTGTGTGTGTGTGGATTGCCCCAGATTTTGGCAAACCAGATCACATAAAACATGGCCCTTAGCATGAGCAGGAATCATAATTAGACCAAAGGGGAAACTGGAGACTCTTCCTTGCAAGGAAAGGCTACATCAAGTGACACACTTTAGTGGGTGGCTCCCCAAATCTGGCCACTGCTGGTGGATAAGCCATTTAGAAGCCTATTTTATAATAGCCTATGATCAGTGGTGGCTGGTGCCCTTTGGGATGGGAAGGGCAGAAGGCAGGGAGAGCAACAGGAGGTGAAGGCAGAGCCAATAACAGGCAGAACCACCCCTTCATTGATTATATGTGAGAAAGGCAGGGCAGGTGGAAGCTAGCTGAGGGCAGACTGAGGTTGGTAGAGCTGCTTCTTCTTTGGCCATCACTCGTAGCCGAGTAAGATTGCCTTCCATAAACACGGTTTTAACAGTGAGTCCGTAAGTGACTATGGAGGCCAATTCTGGATCCACACATCCTTCCACAGTGGAGACATAGGTTTCCGGGTGGGAGTTGATCACCGTGAGGGTTTGCTAAGCGTGCCTTCCTCCTAGCACATTTCTCCCTTTCATCCTGAGTTCGAGCATCTTCAAAGCCCATGACACCTTTGGTAAAGGCTGTTCTCCAGTTGGAGTGCTCGCAGGCCAGTGTTTCCCAATTGTCTGTGTTTATACTACATTTTTTTAGATTTGCCTTGAGACAGTCTTTAAATCTCTTTTGTTGACCACCAGCATTACGCTTTCCATTTTTAAGTTCGGAATAGAGTAGTTGCTTTGGAAGATGATAATCAGGCATCTGCACATGACCAGTTCAACAAAGTTGATGTTGAAGAATCATTGCTTCAACACTGGTGATCTTTGCTTCATCCACTACACTGGCATTAGTTTGCCTGTCTTCCCAAGTGATATGTAAAACAGGGTAGAGCAGTGCCCTGTTTACTCTAATGAAATGGGTTCCACTGCTGCTGCTAATAATAATAATAATAATGGTGTTGGAGGGCTATCTGGGGACCGAACTGTGCATCCTGCTGTGGATCAATGCTCTTAAGAAGCATGGACAGGATTTCAGATGTAATGCTTATTCATATGCCCTTAATTGGATGGATGTTAGGAACAATTTGTATTCACCACCAGCGAGCAGGTGTGACTTCCAGAGACCCAGGAGATGGCCCTGAAACTCGATTCATTAATCAATGTATTAATAGGAAAGACATTCGCTGAATGAATGAATGAGCATTTCTAGGATGGTTCACATAAAAAGAGAGATACGTTATATAAAAGAGCGATAAATGAAAGAGCTGAATAAAGAACATCGGCTTGAAATACCGCATTAAGCTCAGAAAAGTCAAGCTGGGGGAAATGGAAATGGTCTTCGCTTGAAACTGAAAAAGGCCCCAATGTAGATTCTGGGTGAGAGGAAAGCATTGCACAAATGGGAACTCAGCTTGTAACCCAGGGGTTCCTAAACTGTGGTCCATGGACCACAAGTGGTCTGTGAGTGTCAGTCAAGTGGTCCATGGTGTGTCCACATTATATATCCATATTGATTTAAACTGTATTTGTACTGCTTCTTTTATTTCCTATATTGTATTTTATTGTACTGCAGTTTGAATTCTATGGAGCACAAATAGTAATATAGTAAAATGCAAAGTAATTGGGATGCGTGTGGCGCTGTGGTCTAAACCACTCAGCCTCTTGGGCTTGCCGATCGGAAGGTCGGCGGTTCGAATCCCCGCGACGGGGTGAGCTCCTGTTGTTCGGTTCCAGCTCCTGCCAACCTAGCAGTTCGAAAGCACGCCAAAGTGCAAGTAGATAAATAGGTACTGCTCTGGTGGGAAGCTAAACGGTGTTTCCGTGTGCTGCTCTGGTTTGCCAGAAGTGGCTTAGTCATGCTGGCCACATGACCCGGAAAAACTGTTTGCGGACAAACGCCGGCTCCCTCGACCAATAAAGTGAGATGAGCACCGCAATCCCAGAGTCGTCCATGACTGGACTTAACTGTCAGGGGTCCTTTACCTTTTAAATTGCTGAAATATACTCAGAGTCCTGTAGTGATTTCATGCTCTTTATTGCAGCTTGTAAAACAGTGATTGAATTGCCCCCCAAACCTCAGGCTTTTATATACATTATTTACACAATGAGTTCCGTCTGATTGTCTGATTCTGCTTCCCTCCTGAAGCCTGATTGGTCTTTTCCTGCAAGCCAATCAGTTGTTGCATTCTAGACTCCTACTTGCCTATTGTTCTAGGATCCAAGCTTGGTACATAACAATTGCAAAGTAAGAAAATGAAAGAAACAATAAAAATGCAGTTAAAAAGCATGCGGCATCCAGCACAGTGCATTACAACTGTAGAAAAATCATGGTCCCTCCAAGATCACCAACCATTTTCAAGTGGAAAAATGTTTGGGAACCACTATTGTCACTAAGAAGGACCCCTTGCAGACATGTGTTCAAACCTGGAAGTATCATGGGTATATCAATGCTAAAGATGCTTTTTAAGAGCATCTCCTGATCCCCCCCCCCAAAAAAGGCAAGTAAAGCCAACAATGAACCAGAAAACAACCATGTTTGTCACACATGTCAAGGCAGAGGTGAGGCTGCTTTAGATTTTTCTCACGGGTATATAGGAACTGTTTATATACCAGCAAGCTCCTGTATGGCTGTGGGGACATTTGAATGACCTAGAGGGGGACCAGCCTCATGGGAACTGACACTGCGATTTAACTCTTCTCCTGATGTGCTCAAAGACAGACCTCTTTACACCTGATACATATATATTTGTGTGTGCGTGTGCGCATGCGTGTGTTAGGACCTACGCATGTCTCTTGGCTGTAATTTGTTCAAAGCTGATTTTAATATTGTACATTTAAATTTCTGTAGCTTTATCTGGGACATCATGGTGAGGAAATCCAACATTATATTTTCAAAAGGAGCAGATAAGCCAGACTGTTTGAATCTCCTTGAGGCCATTCTAGGCCTCTTTGGTTCAGTGCATTTTATTGGTTTACATTCTCCTTGAGTTTCCTGCTTAATCATTCAAAACATTCAAGTCTGTTTAGCCACTGTATCTATTCATTTGTATATGCCAATTCTGAATGGAAGCAGTGTTTCTCTAGGTTTCAACCCCTACATATTGCAGGGTGCAGTTTCAGAATAGCTGAAATGCTTTTCAAAGGGTCTCTTTTATGACCATGGAATACCAAGTGGTGAAAGTCTAGTAAGTGTGCAGAACAAGGCCATCCTCCCAGCTTTTTTAGGTTGTCATCTTGCTTCCCAAAAATGCTTGAGAAGCTGTACAGTATTTACATTCCTTTGTATAGCCCTGGCTGAATCTTTGCTTTGCGAGACTAAAGAGAATTCATTCCCCTTGAGCCTAAGGAGCGAGAGAATTAATGTTGCCTTGATGATGGTATTCACACACTCTTCAAATTAAAGAAGAAATTAGCACAGCACTTCACAGTTTAAATACAGCATGAGGAGAATTAATGCCATTCGAAGCTGATGCTCTTGCTAAGTTGCTTCCAGGCGCAAGCAGGAGAAAGTTAGTTCACCTGGGGTCTAAAATACACAAGAGTAGCTTGAAGTCACAGAAGTGATGACTACCCCTGATGGCAGCTTGTTAGAGCCTTATTTTGTGGAGCAGACTTACAATGAAACTAATTGCAAATTACAGTTAAAAAATTCATGTGCATTTACAGGGCGCAACTTAGAGTGTTGAACAGAAGCACTGAGCCTGTCAAACCGGAAGGTTGACTGGATTGCATAATTGATAGCCTTTGACCCAAGAGTGCCTGTGAGGTCACAAAAGAGCCATCTTCTAGGGTTATAGGCTTCCTGGATGTCTCTGATTTACTTTAGTTATACTGTGCATTCTCCAAGCCATTAATAAAAACAAATAAAAGTAGAACTATAGTATGCTAACAAATAACAATGCTAAATCTGGAGGTGCACTCCATTGTTTTGTTGTTGTTGTTGGGAAACCCTTTTATTTACATGAGAGACACAACTCTTCCCAAATCCCTTTACTTCAGAGGAATGAAGCGAGAGGAGTGGGTGGCCCTGATTCCAGGTCAGCTGTGCTTAACAGGCTTGTAAGTGATGGAGAACTCTCCCAAACAGTGGCCAATCATTTCAGGCTTGATTTCCACCTGGTTGAAGGTCTTCCCATTGTACATGCCAACCATGCTGCCCACCATTTCTGGTGTCGCAGGTGGGTCTTGACCACCTCTGGCTTCTCCATGGGCAGGGCCTCTTTCTTGGCCTTGCACAGCCACTTGAGGAGGAAGTGCTGCTTGCGGTGCAGGCCACGGTTGAGCTGCTGGCGCTGGCAGGCGCTGTACAGCTGCATCAGCTGCTCGTAGGACATGTCGAGGAGCTGGTCAAGGTCAACACCCCGATAGGTGAACTTCCGGAAAGTATGCTTCTTCGTCTGCTCCACTTCCGCCATCTTGGCCGCAGTCTCCTCTGTGCACTCCATTGTTTTTTGAGACAGACAGATGCCAACAACAACTCCACACATAATGTTTCTCCTTCTTTTACGAAGTCTGCAATGTACAGTGGTACCTCGGGTTACATATGCTTCAGGTTACACACTCCGCTAACCCAGAAATAGTGCTTCAGGTTAAGAACTTTGCTTCAGGATAAGAACTGAAATCTGGCTCTGGCGGCACGGCAGCAGCAGGAGGCCCCATTAGCTAAAGTGGTGCTTCAGGTTAAGAACAATTTCAGGTTAAGAACAGACCTCCAGAACGAATTAAGTACTTAACCCGAGGTACCACTGTATTGCCCTGATTTTTAAAGAGAATTATTGCAAATAACTCACCTGACTCTTTCGTTTCTTCTAACTGCCACAAAAGACTTCCTGAATAATTGCAGAACATTGCTATCATTCATTATCTTTTTTGCTCTGTAGGAATTTCCTCCTAGTAGCCTGCAGCAAACTTTTAACTCTCCCTGCTGCTGACGGGCAGCATCATAGAATGGTAAATAATACTTGCCTCTGTGTATGTGCCTGTAAACTTCATGTGTCTACTGCAAAACACAGGGCACCTTGAGCTCCCATTTTTACAAGCTGCTATCATTTTCTTCCTCCTTCGCTTTATGACAAAGACTTTGCTGCGACAGATAATGAAACCTTACAAATGGATAACTACTGCAACTGCTTTGCTATAAACACAGCTTGTGCAGCGTATGATATGATGGAGTTGGTTTTGAACAGCAGGGAGGGATAAAACACCCCCCTCCTGTCTGTTGATACCAAAGTAACCTAAATGAATTAATGCTCATGTTCCATAACAGTGGAAGCTATTAACCAACAAAGCAATTAAAAAGAGTTCATAATCGACAGTGGTGATACATGTGTATTAAGTTACTGAGACTTGTGCATAAATTACTAAGGGATAAAATTACACATTATGGTGTTTTTGGGTTTTTTTTTAAAGACATGCTTCATTTGTTGACTTAACATATCTACAGCCTCTTCAATAGCCAAAGTGCTCTGGGAAGGTCACAATAAAATTCCCTTAAAAACAACAAGTTGTAAGCTGGCGTCTGATAAATTTCAGAGGGCAGGGGGAGATCCACAGTCTGGGTGCCACTGTGAAGGTGCTCTTCTTTGGCATCACTGCACAATGAATGTCTCCTAGTTATGGGAAGACATTGAGGAAGGCATCCATGTCCCATCTTAACACCTGGACAGGTTTATTCGGACAGACACTCCTTCGAGTATGTAGATATCGAGTTGTTCAAGGCCTTGAAAATTCAGAGGGTAACTATATTGGCAAGCAGTGCAAGTCTTTAAGAACTGGTGCGATATGACACCAACTGGCCACTGTTTAGCAGCAGTCAAGAGTTAGAGGATACAGAGTCTTGAGTTAAGGAACCAGATCTGATGCTGGGGTTCAGAACAATGAGGCTGATGGACACGAACTCTCAAAATGTCCTTTTGTGCCCATAGGGCCAGAGCTCTGTCCTCGTGCTCAGCTTCCCTGGAGCCTGAGGAGTCGGGCACCTCCCACAAGACCTCATGGTCCAATGGCACAGGGAGAAAACTAGGAGGGAACCCATTAGAGAGAGGATGAGTGACCATCTTCAGGCCAGAGAGATGAAACTTTAAGAATCCACCACTATGGGGATGGAGGCTCAAAAAGGCTTGGGGCTTCTGCACACTCTTCTGCTCTTTTCATGCATGGTCTGTGCTTTAAAGCTCTGTGTCTGGGTGACCTTCCCCCCCCCGGCTTTCCCTGCAAAAACCCACTCCTTAAAGCTAAGAGCAAACAGCAGTCAACGGAAAACCCAAACTGATGCTTGTTCCAACTGAGTGCTAAAGAGCAGGTTTTCGTGGGGAAAACTTTGGGGGCACAAAGCATGCATGCTCGGACACAGAACTTTTAAGCGCGGACCTGTGCCTAAAAGAGCAGCACAAAAGGTGAGTGTGGATAAGCCCTTGGTCTGTTCTCAACCTTTGTGGGAGCAAATTGCACCCTTGGTGCTATCCGTGGTCCTGCAACTTTTGAGCCCTCTTGCCACACAGTTTCTGGCATCAGACTTGGGTTTTTGTTTTTTTTTAAAGGAGCCTTAATCTGGAATGTGTTCCCAATCTGGAGAGAAGCCACACACCAGTTTCCCATCCGAAATCCACCGTCATTCCTGTCTCCTAGTGTCTGAGCACAGGCGTTCCTCACCCCCTTAACACGGGGGTTATGATCCTGGTCCTTGTACACATAAATGAAATCATGTAAATTAGGGAACACGCTCTAAGCACTCTTCAAATGCTCTCTCTGCTATGCTCTCTTCAATCCATATCAAGTTGGTAGCCCTAATGGTGGGGTTTTCTGCAGTCCCTTTTGGCTTCCTTATGACTTGCCACAAGTACCAGCTGGCCAACAGGCCCAGCTACATCTTCTCCACCAATCAGACACCAAGAGGATGTACCTAGAACCTGAAACAACCTTGCAGCTTCCCCCTTCAGTATAAGAAGCCTCCGTGCTGCTTGTCCCAGTTTTGTCAGTGAATAACCAAGCTTCAAAGGAAGAAGCTGCTGGATCAGTCTGATGGCCCAGCTAGCCCAGCGTCATGTTCTCACAATGGCCAACCAGATGTCTATGGGAAGCCCACAAACACCTAAGCACAACCACGCTCTCCTCACTCAAGCATCTGAGAGTTAAATTCGAAATTCCTGCAGCTGGCTAAGTTTAGGCGAAGTTGAGTAAACACAATCTTCCCTGATGTTGTCATCGTCAAGCATTATAATTTGGACCTGAAAAGGCTTCTGTGTTATCATAAGACTTGAGCATACAGACTTGATTATATATTCTTTCCTGAAGTTTTTGTTTCATTTTGGAACGGCTGGCACAATCTGTATGTAAATGTTTCTCAAAGCTCGTAGGACCGTAATGGGTTTGTTTTCTTAAAGGAAAAAACCTACTGCATCACCCTGGCATAATTGAACATGGAGAGGAGATCAGAATTAAGAGCAGCTGCCTTCAATAGATTGCTGCAGGATGGGGAAAGAGAACAAAGTACGGTAGTTTGTTTTTGGTAACTTGGATTTTTATGGCTGACGGGGCCCATGTGAAGTAGTATACAGGAATTCTATTTTAGTCTAGTCTAGTCTAGTCTACACTACACTTGTATCCAACCCTTCCTCACAAAGGAACCCCAGGAGGTAGACATATCCACAGAAGGATGTCTATGAACTGTAGTGCATGCAGAAAACTAGACATACCCAACAGATATTCCACTGTGGGTGTAAAGTAAGAATGCCTCTTATAAAATGGCCTTTCCATTAGTCCAAGCTTCCCCAAATGAGAGCAACGTGTGTTAGTGTGTAACTGGAAAAATGTGACACCACACCTACAGTGGGGGTGGGTGGGTTGGTTATTGCTTTCAGAACGAGTAATGCCTGTGAACATCAACAGATGGCCACCCTTATCTATGGGCCTCTGCCTTGGTTACATTTGCCACGTTTTGCTACTGTAAATTTCTCGAGGCGCATTGTGTCGAAGTGGCTGGAGAGGTGAACATCTGCTTCTGTGCTCTCGTGCCGTTAATTTGTATTCTGGTTTGAGAGAATGATTGGCTGGTTGGTTAGTTTCCCTCCCTCCCCCCCCCCAAATTGTAGCTGGCCCTGTATTTACACATGTGGACGCCAAGTGGTTCAGCTCTGTGGTTAGCGGGCTGTGGCTACGAGAAAAGATAATGTGTTGTTACGGAGCACACATGCTTTACATTAAAGGGAGCGCTTTTTTAAAAAAATGTGCGGGACAAGTGTGTTTATTTTAACAGTTTATACGTGCTGAACTTGCTCATGCTGCTCTATGGGATGGGTTAGCATCTGGCTTGCAGGTGTCACTGAGTCAGTGCTACGGATGTCTCCATGTCCTCAAGCAACCTTGGTTGATAAACCTCGCAAACAAATCCAGAAGCATAAAGGCATCTAAAGGGGCTTCTCTTCTTAAAAATAGCTGTATTGATCTGACCCTTAGAGCAGTGGTTTGGGAAGTATCTTAAACTATTTAAGGTTCAGCTTTTAAAAGGCTGAACTGATTACACACCTGGCCTGGTGCAATGTTGCCATTGATAACCTTTTCTTCTTCTTCTTCCATGAATTGGTCTAAACACCCTTCTGAAGGTGCCTAAAGGTTGGTGGTCATCACATCATTTTTTGTAGTACAGTCGTGCCTTGGTTTTCGAACACCTTAGTTCTCAAACGTTTTGGCTTCCGAACGCTCCAAACCCGGAAATGAGTGTCCTGGTTTGCAAACTATTTTTGGAAGCCGAATGTCCGGCGCAGCTTTCGTGGCTTCTGATTGGCTTTCAAAGTATGTTGTTTGGTTTGGATCTGATATGCTTCTTCATCTCATAACTTGCATAGGCCATGTGGTTTCCCTTCCTTCCCCCGCTGCTTCTGTACATGCTATGCATTGCTAATTTACAATGAGAAGATAAACAGGAGCCACTCCAGGCCCCTACTAGCCTCTATATGGCAAATGTTGAAACACAAAAAGGGCATCTTTACACACAAGTCTCCTAACATTTTCTTTCCACTGATGAAAGAGCGATTGTCTGTTGGGCTGCTGCTGGGTAATTAGATATTCCTCTACATCTTTGTTGGTTGGGACACAAAGGCCTCATTCCTCTTCCCCCAGGCACTGTTGTCTGGAGTCAAGATGGGAGGCTGTGTTTTGAACATGGTTGGTAAGTTGTGCCATTTTTAGGGGGTGAAAAACAATGGCATTAAGGAGCGGTAGGGAAGTATATAGAGCTTTTCATACAAAAGGTCCCAGGTTCAGTTCCTGTTATCTTCAAGTAGGGCTGGGAGAGACTCCCTTTCAGAAATCCTGGGGAGCTGCTGCCAGTCAGTGCTGGATAGACAAATGTTCAGCTTCCCCTGTTCCTAGGTGATGCGGGCAAGAGCTCATCACCCTATCAACAAGGTAACAGATA